TTTTCAGACTATTTTAAAACTTATTTGACAGTGTTTGTTAATCTGTGCTTTGTGTCGCCATGGTAACTTGTAAACATTCTGCCAATAGAGATATATGCAGAACACCCCCAGTGTGATATCACTGCAAAGTATCACCTGAGTGTAAATTAAAGACAACAATGAGAGGCTTCACATCAGTCATCACGATAATTAACTGAAAGTCAGTCAGAAGTAAATCTTAAAGAGGCACTATGTAATTTTAGCTTGTCTCCATGGAGATGTTATTGCTGTCCCTGGAATGTCCCATAGTATGGTATTTGAAAGTACAGTATATGTGGCATTTATTTCTTTAGAGTTAATATACTTTGAAATTTGCTGCTCAAAAATACCTTAAAAACATTACTTCTTATTGTGAATTAGATTGTCTCTCCACAGATCTGACCTGTAACTTGGCCTAGTGGCATCACCAATTGTCTCCCTGGTGATAAATAAGTAAACATAAATTACAGCAAGTTACATAATGTATTTTTAATGTAATGTATTAAAAGTCTGGGTTAGCATCTGTTATTGACATTATATTGCAAGATAAATCATCAAAAGTAGCAGGAACAGGAACAAATAAATAAAAAAAATAAATAAAAACTACTATACATGAACAATAGTCTATTTATGCTTGAGAATGCTTATTTGTTTATGGGTAAATTTAGAGCAAAACACATTGGAACAACATTCAACAAAGCACAACTGTTGAGTCAGTAGTATGAGTTAGTATTAGTATTTAGTTTCATTTGTGATAAACTAGAATTACACATTGTGGTGGGACTGATGCATGTTTTACCTCATAAACAAAAGCTGTGTGAGTCACCAGTACTTCATCACTGGAGCTAAATGACCCCGACAAAGGCCATTGTTCATATGCCTGTCAATCACAACCACTTCTAATCAGGTTCAGCTTTTAGCATTAGCTCTGAGAGGTGAATGGGCCTCACAGTCTACATCTGTTTTCACCGAGCTGTTAATGTTTGTTAATGCTGAGGCTGGACCGTTGCCAAATTGTTTTCCACATTTATTATATTTGAAAACACATCCTGTCTGTCACTGGGGCACGCACTATTTTGCAAACCACTGCTGACTCATAAGGTAAAGTACAAGAGGACGAGTAAACAAGAGGGTGCAAGCAGCTTTTAGTTCATACTTGTCTATTTACTGTTGGTTTCTTGTAGGAAATTGAGTTTCCGGGTTCATCCACAACTAAGACAAGACAAGTTTGAAAGGGCCCATGTGACGCTATTTTCTGATCTATGTTATAATGTTGTTTCCTCATCAAAAACAATCCTTGTGTTTTGTTTTATTCACACATGTTTAACACACAAACCCCGCATATGTAGTATGTGATGTCCTGTGGTAATACAGGAAGAGCTCCACTGTGGTTTTGAACTCCATACACCTTTATTAGAATCATTTGGATAATTTCAGCCATTCAACTGTTAACTTGAAAACTTTCATGACATCACAAGGTGGAATAGACCATTTTGAGCTATGGAGATACAGACAGACTAATAATAAAGGCTTACTCAAACATGTGAACAAAACTAGGTATGTTTCAAGGTCATAAGAGTCAAATTTGTGAAATACTGGACTTTTAAAGAAGCTCCAACACACATACCATTAGAGATACCGAGTATGAGGTCAGAGAAAAAATATATAAAAATGTATAAATTAATAAGAATGTATAAATCAATAAGAATGAATAATCTATTGCAATTTAAGGACATCATGCCACCATACTGGTTATAGTTGGTTATGTAAACAAATGCATTAACTGCCCATATTATCTGTATTAATATAGTAATTTATCAAAAGAGATTTAGTGAAAGATAGTCAATTATTTATGTTTAAATGCTTGTAAATGAAGACTATGCTACATCCTGTCTATTTTTATTTATTGTATTTTTTGTATTTTTATTTATTTTCTGAGCCCAGTGGGATGGGAGGGGGTTATTTTATATACAATTTTCTCTTTTATACAAATAAATGTGATTGTATATTACTCACACAAAACTAATAAAGTCTGGAAAAAAAAGTAAATTATCAGGTTTTAAATCAGTTTCTGTGAAAAAAATCATGAAAAAAAAGGTTAGATAGATTGAGTATGACGCCCACTGCCCCAATATCAGCACTGCCCTGTGTGACATTAGCTCAAAGAAAATGATTAAAATGTACAGATTAGGTTGAAACAGGTCAAACGCAACACTTTCAACCTCAAATACAGGTCACTCAGAGAAAAGTTGGAAGTCAGTATCTTTTATGTGAAGTGAAAATCTATCTGGACTGGGCGCCGTCGTGTTGACCCCCTTTAGCCATTTGACTGACACACAAATAATTTGGCGTCTTTGACAAAATGAAAAGGCCAAGTCTCCTGGCCTTTTGGCGGGATAAAATGTCGCCGCTTGGCATGCAGACACCACTCGCGCTGTCCCTCGGAGAGTATCCCTGCATTAGCTCCTCTTCCCTGCCATTATATACATGAGCAATGCATTTATTCACAATACTGTATTGGTGGCAACAGTATACAGCAGTGTCTATCAAACTTCAAACACATTTATAACCTCGTTTTTATTCCACGCTCTTGTCTCTTCTTTTTTAATATAAGTTTTATGATGATTATTTATGTTCTCATCTGACTGTATTGTGATTTTAATATCTTTCTTATTCTGTAAAGCACTTTGAATTACTTTGTGTATGAACTGTGCAATACAAATAAACTTGCCTTGCCTTGCCTAGTTCATTTTATTAGTTTGCAGGGTCCAAAGTTATTCCTCACTCGCCTTATACATTCAGAGCATCTATTAACTAGGGATGCACTGGTCCAATGCTGGTAACGGATATCAGTGTTGGTATTGAAAATTTGTTGGATCTAATACCGACTTTTAAATATCAGCTTTCTAATATTGGTTCAGACGGATACATTGATGTAAAAAGACAATTTACTGGTCAAAGTCTCATAATGTTTGAACTTTTATTTACACAAAACTGTTCTCTAATTACTTGATGGATGAATAACATGATGGATAATCAGTTTTGCCTTCTTTTGTTTTAGTTTAAAGGAAATAAATACTGTTTTCAATCTCTGCACTGGTATCGGTTGATATTGGTTACGGGCAAATACTTAAAGCTTTATTATTGCAATCAGTATCAGAACATGAAAAAGCTGGATCAGTGCATCCCTAAAATTAACCACAATGATATTAAGCAATTATAATGCCCAGACACCAGAGCTGAGTTTTACAACTTACATATCTGTTCATAATACATATTAAAAATAATAATTATACAGCTCACCGGGCCTTTAATTGAACTATGTACCCATTTTAAAGGTGCAGCATGTAACCTGTCTGGTGGAGGGGGCCGCTACCTACTTGTCTACATGGAAATGTTATTTGTTTGCTTGGAATCATAAGTAATTCAGAACTAAAACAGACCAGAGCTAAATCAAGTCAAACTTCATGTATACAGAAAAAAGGGACATATCAAGACTAACCAAGGTCAGGACTAAGCCAAAACTGGACCTGTACAGACCAAAATTCAGGATATCATGATCTTATGGAGTTAAAATCTGGACTAAACTTATAGAAAACTGGATTTACACTCTTTTCCAGCATTTTCAAAAATAGGGTTGTACTTAGCTTTACCGCCCTGGTCGCATTGCAGCAAACTCATAGTGGTGCATAATTAGGATGCTTGGAATGCATAAGGTAAGTGAGCAATAACTATGGACCACTGCAGACCATTTACAGTGAACTAGTTCAGTTTTTTTTTTTAACTCTTTTAAGAGAGTAAAATCAGGTACAGGGTCTTTTAAGGTTCTATATTACACAACTGACTCAAAGCCATGTTATAATGTTATTATCTCATCAAAAACATTCCTGGAGTTGTGTTTTATTTAATTGACACATGTTTGAGTAAGACTTTATTATTAATCTGTCTACATCTCTAACGCTCAAAATGCTCTGTTCCACCTTGTGATATAATACAGTGGTAGTTTTCAAGTTAACAGCTTCTTTTATCTTTAGCAATTCCAGGTCTGAAATTATCCAAATGATTCTAGTGAAGGTGTATGGGGTTTAAAAACACAGTGTAGTACTTCCTGTATTACCACATGACATCACAAAGTGGAAGTGTTTTCTGTTTGATAGAAAAACTCAGCCTAAATATGCAGGATTTGTGTGTTAAACATGAGTGAATGAAATAAAACACAACTCCAGGTGTGTTTGTGATGGGGAAACAACATTATAGCACAGATCCAAACATAGCGTAATAAGGGTGCTTTAATCTTGGACTAAATTCTATGGACTACAAAAAGGAAAACAAGATGAATCACTAAAGTTTCACCACCAAATCAAATGTGTGCAGGACTGATATAAATAAACAATGCATTAAAGTCTAAAATTTCCTCTGGGTTATTTTAGCCCTACAAATCAATATATCTTTTTAGATCGGGTACTTTTCATTTTGGAATACAATTACCAGCAAAATGGTGAAATCTATTGCTTTACTTTCCGGACTTTAAATTGAAGCAGTGCCTTATATACTGGCACAATAATTTAATTTGAATAGATTTTCTCTACAGGTTTGACTTATCAGGGCGACAACAGCTTCTCGGTTGAATGAAGTGACAGCAGTAAATTACTTGTGTTGGCAAAGGAAAAGCTCGGGGGAACTAGCAGAAGCAGAGAAGGCACTACTTTTTCATCTTGCCTGTCAAACTCTACAAAACGCACTAAAAACAGTATCCCGATGTCTATACGTTTTGCTTTGGTTTCCTCTCCTGTTACATAGATATGATACAGCATATTTTAGTCTATCAGAAAGATCCAGTGTCATGTGTTTGTTGCATACTGATGTTATCTTCAGTGATAATCCCTTTACGCTTTTGTGGTTATTGTTGTTTTCCATTTGTTGGGCCTTCTGCTGTGGACTATGTGGAAATCCCTTGTGAAAATAATACTGCATTATCTCACCTTATCTTCCTTACTTTGTATAAACAATGAAGTTCGGCTGCATCTCGGCTTATTTGAAGCTGTTAGCATCTGCAATAGACAAGAAGAAAGATGTCATGTGGAAACTGTGATTAACTGCAATAATTGTGGAATAATGTTATTTATTCAAGCAATTTAAAACCCACTGCTAAACTATCAATTCAGATAATTTGACATTTATTTTATTATTTATTTATTTTGACATTTATTGTACTGCTTATTTTAAAATGTAACTTGTCATGTTGGGGATCCACCACCTGTCAAAAATAGCTTGAAAACATAGATTATTTATTTTTTATTGTTAAATACCACTTTAACTGCAAAAGAAAAAATATACAGTATGTATACATTACTATTTTTTATTTTTTTTAATAGCAGTTAAGTAATAAATACATTTTCAAATATTGATTTAACATACTATCAACATTCAGAGCAGGCTAGACCATGTTAATCTTATGTATTTAATTCAAACTCAAGTTTACAATGGAAATATAGGTACTTCTGTAATGGCGGCCATTGACCACTAGATGTCATCATTAATCTAGCAAATGGGAAGAAGTAGTGGCACGTGAGCAAAGAAACATCAGCCACTTCAGTAATTGCTCTGACAGGTGACACCGGCTCGTCTTCATCAAAATGTGTCTGCTTTCCCTGTAACTATCCACAGCAGTATAACGCAGCATGTTTATGTATACCTGTGAAGTGGAGAACCTGTCATATGAAAGAATTCCTAAGATCCTTCTAAAAGACTGTGTTCCCTGACCGGGAATCGAACCCGGGCCGCGGCGGTGAGAGCGCCGAATCCTAACCACTAGACCACCAGGGAAACATACCGGAAAATATACACGTGACAGTTGGGTAGTTCACTCATACTGTTGTGACAAATTTCTGTATACATAATATAAAAATTGCTACAGGCAATACTTCACCACAAATATTGCAACATATGTTTGTGCTACAAAACAGAAAGCACTCCTGCAAAAGGTTGTTGTAGTTGCTCTAGACTAGAGGCGATAATTAGAGAACTACATCAAATTTCAGGCCAGGCCAATAACCTTATAAAGTTTTATTACACAAACCTCGTGACAACACTCCTCTGTGCATGAGAACCAAACTTTAAAATACCGGGGATGTGGAGGAAATACACACGCCATTTTCCTTGAAAGCCATCAGTCCATTTAAAAGATGATTTAAAGCCAGCGGAGGGAGGCGCTGTAAATAACTGGACTGAGTTCAGCGTGGGAAACGACAAAAAAAAAAAAAAAAAAAAAAAAATCACAACAGCGTCAAGTTACATTTCTAACTACGACTGTACCGGAAAAGAGAAGGGTGTAACTTCAAAATAAAATGTGGTAGACGCGTTTTAAATGATTTGTCAAGTTCCGCTCCAAATATTTAAGTGACTTGTATTTTTTAATTCATAATTTTGAATATTGTACTTAAAATAGTTAAATTACAGCAGGATTACTGTGATTTAGAAAATATAAAATCACACCGGGTTTTATACTTGAAGTACCGCATGTGGAAGTCGCGTGTCTTGCCCGTTTGTGTGGCTGTGAGAGTGTGAGAAAGACTTGTACGGGAAGAAGAGAAAAGACCGTAGACGTGTGTGGGTGCGATTTAAATATCTGGGTTAGTATCTTTTGACCTTAACCTCACTGCATTTCTCACTGGTGTTCGCTGATGGCTTTTACATTTCACCGCGGCATGTCTGTGATAGTTTTACGCGTGTTAGCTCCGCGGCTAGAGCTAGCTTAGCAGCGAAACGTAGCGCCTCATTATATCCTCTGTCTTCCTCTTCTCTCAGTGTTCTCAGGTGGCACCCGGCGCTCGGATTGACATCGACAACAAGACGACTCCATTGGATCTATTATTTCTACTAGGGTCTGTGTTGATTTGAGGCAGAAAAATGTCAGGACAGAGCATTACGGACCGGATAACCGCGGCTCAACATAGTGTCACCGGTTCGGCTATTTCCAAAACTGTGTGTAAGGCGACCACACACGAAATAATGGGGCCAAAGAAGAAACATTTGGACTGTAAGTATACATTTAAAGTCTTCCCTTGTCTCGTATGTTTAATCTGTCTGTGATATTTGAGGATACGCATGGTTTTGTATCGTTATGCTGCAGCCGTGGATCGGAGGCCTCTGGTACATTTAACTCGAGCAGCTGTGCAATGGAAACAATGCACCGGTTTTAACCCAGACGAACTCTTTTAGCGATAAAGTTACAGCTGCGACGCATTTCAGGAAAGCAACTAACCAACAATTATTGATTTTTAACTATTTAAGAATTCCCCATGCATATATAGTCAAAAATGTACCCCATAGTTTAAATATAACCTGGACTTTAAACTGGCATAGCAAAATTAGACTTGCTTATTAGAAGTAACTCAAGTTTATTTATATAGCGCTTTAAAACACATATATAACTACAGTAGATGTACAGTACAATGAACAAGATTAACATGGACATTAAGATATAGCTAGAATGCTTGTTTAAACAGGTTAATTATTATTATTGTAATATTTTAAACATATAAACTACACTAGTAACTACACTGGTCTAAAAATTACAGCTTTAACCAAATGAGACATTTATACTCCACAAATGGTATAAAATTTTTTTTTATTAAAATTAATTTAAAACGTCTCTCTTGACAGTCTATGGGGAACTCTGTGCTGCTACAATAAGGAAGTTTAACCTGTTATTTTAAGGGATAAATTAGGGGTAATACAAATTCAGCAAACATAATTAAGTATTACTGTACAAACCAAATATTTTAATCTGTCTGGCACGTCAGACGGCTCTTGTTGTCAGTTGGGTACTGGCTACATTCACAGTAGTACTGTAGTTTGAGAGATAACTTTATAATAACTATTCTTTATGTCGTATTTGGCATTGAAAGAGGGCAATACATGCCATTTAAACCACATGTTTTTTTTATTGGTGTAATAATGTAAACTGACCCTGCTGCCTGTGTCAAACGTAGGCTATTGCTTTGTATAATTTTATTTCAGGAAGTGCATGTGTGCTGTGGACTTTGACTCCGATCATTATCAGGACACTGTTTCTTTTCATTGGTCTGACAACATGTCCCCTTGTTTCAGGACAGGCTTATTTTGGTCATCGATCTCCCATTCATAGACTTTGGAATTCGTTATCTAGAGCTCAGCATGATCATTATTCACTGACATACTTGATGCTTGATGGAAACTTCTAGTCGTGGCACAATTTTTTATTATGTCTTTTCCAAGTTTTTGCAACTTTTTGTCAGAATTCTCCACTGAGGCAACTTAGGCCAGCCCCAGTATTCATGAAAGAATATTTTGTATATAAGACACTGTCACCAAGAGCTGTGCAATAAATTTATTTCACTCAGTTTTAATTCATTTCAAAGTCATTCATTCAGTCATTTCTAATTATCAATGGTATACTTGGGTCTTTTAACAGTGACTACTAAAAGGTCTACAGCCAACCATAAAAAAAACCCTCATTTATTTAATGTGAGAAAATTAATAAGATTTTTTTTTTGTTTGTTTGGGGGGTGTCTTTTGGCTTAATATCACACAGCTCTACTTCATGATTACTTTATGATTCTATGACTATTTTAAAATGGCGGCAAAAAGAGCTGATTAAAAATAAATGTAACAAAGAGCTAGTCTAATCTTCCAAACATTTTTGCCCTTTTCTGGTAAATTTTTTTTGTTAATTCTGTGCGATAATTCAACCTCAACTCAAGATATTTATAGGCATATTTTAGCACATTCCTGATCCAAATAATTTCCCTTGTGGAGCAATAAAGTTTGTTGTGTGATTATTGTTACCCCGGAAATTCGAAAGACCAACAAGATAATAATTTTTGACAATATCACCCATACCGTGCATACTTTTTACCCATGAAATATGATGGGTGCTGTGTGTTTGCAGTGAAGAGTCAGGCCCGTGACTCTCCTGAGTACAGACAGGTGATCTCTGGCTCCTCCGTGCTGCCTGTCTGGAGTTAATCTTGAGACACTTGTGCTGGCAGCAGTCACACTTAGGTTGGAAGTATTTAAAGAGGTCTGGACTCCGATCTTATGTTTGAACTATCCACGTAGGGCCAGATATAGCCTGTGTGTGTGTGTGCTGGGCTGCTCCGTCTTCCTCCTGTCTGGATTGCAGGTGAGATTGTGTGCTTCTCTTCTGGGCTGGAGAGGGGCCTACTTTGACATTCTTTAACGCTGGCATGCTAGATAAACTCAGTCGCATAACTCGAGCACTGTGCAGCTCCCCAGACACAGCCCGGTGAAGAAGGCACAACAATCCATCTATCTCTGACAACCACAGCAATTAACATCCTTGTTTGTTTTAAGGACGTGTCAAATGACTCTTAAAGGTGTGTGCATTTTTTGTTGGAGGTCCGTCACCTTTTTGTTTCTAAGGATATGTCACTGCTATCTTAGAATTTTTTGCAATATGACATTAAACAGATCTAGCTTATATTTATTCAATTACAGGTGGTTTTATTCCAGTTATTTAAAAACAGGGATTCTGACTGTTAGCGGGGTTACCTCTCACCAGATCTGAACTGTAACTCGGTCTGGTTTGATCTTCATGAAGATAGAAATGTTTAATGCCATTCTGTGAAACATTCCAGACAAAGCAATAACATCTCCATGAAGAAAAGCATTTGATAGATCTTCCACCAGAAAAATCACACAATGCAGCAAGTTAATTGAGTTACACAATAAACTAAATTATTAGAAAATATGTGTGGCCGATATTGACAAATTATTATCTTTTTTTTTTTTTTTGCATGATCCCAATAGCAATTTTCAGACAATATTTTAACACGTAATCTGGATTTTAATAAAATGTGTTTGAACATGCCTTGGTTGAGGCTCCAGTCAAGCACACAACGTAAATGGACCTTATAATTAACCACAAAAGGGCAGAAATGTCACTTCTTTATTACACTAGATGTGTCTGTCTAGTTTATTTTTAAGGTTATTTTAAGCCTGTCATGATGAAATTTTGAAGTGAGATATATTGCTGAAGTCAATACAGATGATAAACGATAATATCGAAACCAAAGCATAAAGCAGAATTATCCCTCAAAACGTATTCTAAATGTACAGTATTGTTAAAAAATTAACTGTAATCAATGAAATCAGAGAATGCAAGTTCATAATTCAACCTTCTACAGCTCAAATCTCATCGTAGAATAGAAAAAAATCGAAAATTTCCCTATGGTACGAAGAAAAAGTCCCCACAATAAATATTGACCCCGAAAAATGATTGTTCCAGTCAATGTAGTATTTATTGTGACAGGCTTAGTTATTTTTACTAGTAATTATACATGATAACTCTATATTCTAATCTTGCATATTTTCAAAACCACTTTTTTTGTTAGATCTCCCACCTCTACTAAAGAAATGCCTATGGTTTTTAATAATATGGGTTAAAGCTGGTTGCATTAAGTATCAACTGTAGATCAGGAGTATTTAAATGTCCATTGTGTAACTTTACTGGCGGAGGATCCATCACATGCTCTCATGGTAATGCTATGGCTTTGTCTGGATGTGTCTCAGTATGGCATTAAACCAGACCAAGTTACAGGTCAAATCTATGGAGAGCAACCCCGCTCAAAGTTTTTCTTTGTATTTTTGAGCTGTAAAACCACCTGCAACTGAACAGATGTAAGGTCAAGTTGTTTAATGTCACACTGTGGAACATTCCTGGCAGATGAATGACATATCCTTCACCAAAAAAGTTACACAATGCATGTAAAAAATCTTGCCTCTTGAGAAATCTGGACTTCATTGACTGCCTTCTCCTTTTAGTGTTTTTCCATTTAGGGAAGAAACTCATTTCCTCCATTTGTCTTAAATTCACATGAACGTGTAAAGCGTTTAGTTAGTGGCACTTTAAAGTTTGTGTGTGCTGTCATGGAGGGATTAACTCACCGCGGTTACAGACGGTGCTATAACTTCCCTCTGTGTGGCCTTTATTACCATTTGAACATTTGGTATGCAAATACACTGCCTGGTTGGAAAGTCACTCCCAGGATTCAAAGAAAACTGCCTCCTATTGCATAATTATGAAAATTTAGCAATGTTATGCATAAAGAAGACATTATGGTTTCGGGGGTAATTACATTTGTTCAATGACAGGTATTTTATAGCTCACAAATATTTTAAAAACATGAATTCTTACCATGTGCAGGCTTGCTTATTCTTATCCTTAGATCTGACCATTGACCTATCTCCATTGTGTTTACCAAGTTTATTTCCATACTGCCAAATAATAAAGGCAAAACAGTAATATCTCCATGGAGACAAGCAGAAAAGTATACAGTGCCCCTTTAAGTACAGAACAATGATTTTACATTTTGTTAAATAAAAACAGCCATATTTATATAAAATGGCTTAATGAAACTGCTAAATTGACTTCAGAACTGTAGAGTTGAGAAGCTCCACCTTTCATATTGACATTTCATGAGGTCACTTTTGTTATTTCATTTCTTTGTAAAAAAAAAAAAAAACAAAAAAAAAAAAACTTTTATTTCTGTCCACAGTTGCAGTAGTATTTGTCAAGAATTTGTACTGATAATGCGCCAGTTGTCGTCTTCAGCAAATTCCAAAGATTCAGAAAGCATCTGAACATTGTTGTTTGACCCTGGTGAATATTATGAGTTTATATTATTCACCGTTTTTGACCTGGTAGTAAATAATACTAGAGTATATTTTATTGGAGCATACTTTTCATTCCAAGGAATCTCTATGTGCAACAAAGAAAACAAACAAGAACAAGAAAAATAGGCAGCAATTAAAACCCTTTGTATATATATTAAAAAGGTCATACCTAATTGTTTTTTCTTTCCATGGATTTTAGCAAAAATTGTCTTGCCCTAGTACAGATATATAGTATAAGCAGCTCTTGAGGTCAAAACAAGACAACGGTGAACTATCTGCGTCTAATTATTAAGTATTTTATTGTCCAGTTATCAAGAAGTGCACTGTTAGCATGCTAAACTGCTGTGGCCGATGAAGCTT